AGCAACATCCTTATTCAAAGCATCAATTATTTCTAAACAAGCCTCTTCCTTAACACCTTTAATGGAATGCCATGTTACAGAAACTGGATCGCTCTTCAATATCCATGAGTCTCCAACAACACCAATAAGCTCACCATCAATACTATTGTACTTAAATCCATCTAAAACAGTTACCGCACAATCGGTAGCAGAAAGCAGCTGGAGATGGAGAGGGTGAGCCAACATAAGCAAGTCGCCCCATCCATTCTTTTCCCACTTGTACTCCAAGCAAAATGGCTGACTAAAAACAGCATTACCACTTGTAGGATAACAAGAACTAAAACGATCAAGTACTGCTTCACACGTTGGGTCAGAATTTGGCAAACAAGCAATCCGAATAACACCCGAAAACACACCGGACTTGATAGTGGACAAATCATGACTCAAATCAATGGGAGAAGAAGCATACAGAAGCCAAGTTTGCCCATTGTTGAGCTTAACAGTATATTTGGTACGATTACTATTCGAATTACACTCAAGAATGGCATGAATTGTTGAAATCGAAAGCGCTACATTTCCAAGAACGTTACACGTAATAAAGGGGGAACCTTTAACAAGAAAGAACCTGAGATTACTAGAAGGAAGGTCTAATGTGACACTAAGATCATCAAAGGATGAAATTACATGGGGTGAATTTGGATTGGGATTATTCAAAGCAGTGATAGTCAAATCAGCTATAAAATTTTGGTAAATGAAAGCAGGATTATGGAACTGAGATGGGTAACAAAGAGTGAGGGATGAAAGTGAGGATTTTACAATATAAGGGTGTATGAATTCAGGCTGATCACCATTCTTGAGGACAAAATTTTGGAAAAAAGAATTTGTGGGTAATGGATTTGAGAGGAGATTAGGGGCAAAAAAGGAAGAAGGATCAGGAAGAACAGTGGATTGAGTACTGGGGAACAGGAAAGGCTGTGATGATGACATGGCAAAGAAATGTGAAGAAGATGAAGGTGGTGGTGGTTCAGGCTGTGGAGGGGTTTTATAGGGTTTTTTGAAAGGTTTTGTGATGATAGCTTTGACTTGTCTTTTGATTTTCTTCAACACCTGACTTAAGATATCGAAATCGTAAGCGCGTTAATTGATCTGAAAATTTTGGGAGGAATACAAAATTTTATTATTTATGTCAAGTGCACAACATACCTGTCAATTTTGGTACGTCAGATTAATGGAGTTGTAGTTGGGAAACATGCGCGTTCGAATAGCCGCCAGGTGAGAGGAAATAAGGAAGAAAGAATGCAAAGTTGACTAAGTTTTAACGGAATTTCAAGATTGCAAGAGATGATAATTTTTTGAAAATACATTCACATCTCTCTTAACGGCATCACTAACACTTATCCATAATAATCAAGCTTTTTCGTAATTAATTTTTATATCAATAATATATGTTACTCCATTATAAGCATGGAGTAGGGAATTAGTCACTAGATATCTCTTGCTGTAAAGCTAACCACTTTGCAACTTAGGAAATGGATTAAGAAGAAATCGGGGATTTGGGATGTGGGACCTCTTGCTTACATGTTATTAGGAAGCAAAGAAAGCAAGAATCAGACGCCAATTTTTTTGGCCGAGAATAGCAAATTATTTTACATGTTTCTTAAAAGTCACAGTTATTACCAAGGGTATACAAAGGAAACCGATAAATTGCATCAACCCGAAAATTCGAGTCAAACCGAGAAAAAAAAACTCACTATGGTTTTGTTTGATTTGGTTTGACATTGGTGTTTAACCAAAAATCTGAGCCTTTGATCAAAACTAGAAATAAAGAGAAATTCGGATTACTGATAATCTGGAGACGAAAATAAAAGATTTCTGAGAATAATAAAGTAATAAGTAGTTTTGTATTTCAGTGTAATCTCAATAATATTTCGTGTCCTTACAGATGTTGAGTCCTTCTCCTTTTATAGTTAATTCTAGGAGAAGATGTAATGCCTTTGTCTTAATGAGGCAATTATGAGCAATAAATGACATTTAAAAGAAACGTTACACAATCATTTCTATTTAATTCAGATTCTCTAACGTATTTGATATTTAATGCTGGATTTAGACTCTTTTACGTCATCAGATTCGTATCTTCAACTTCTTTCGATCTTTGATCTTTAAATGACTCGAATAGGTACGAGACTCGTACCTATTTTAGTAACGATCCACACCTATGTTGCTTTCTTTTCCCCATATCTGTTGTCGCCCGTGCCTCTTGGCTATTTATTGCGTTTTGACCTTTTGACCAGTCCATGTGTCATGACACGTCATCTTCAATATTCAGACTCAGTTTTTTCCCAATACAGATAGTCCCCCCACTTTCCATTTATTTATTAATTAAATATTTGGGAAGTGGATCTTCACGAAAAAGGAATTTTCGCCGTAATTAATGTTATGTCAGTACTGACGCTTCAATTGTCTTTTCTATTTAATGCTCTGCACACGTATCACCTTCTGATATGTATGTAATTCTATAGCCTTTTTCCAAGGCTTCTTCATCCCCTCTATTTACGAAGTGATAGTTGCCTTTATTATAGGCTTTCCATCATTACACTTTTTTGTTTGACGGTCGTTGTTATACACATATTTAACCCTTTTTTCCTTTGTCTTCTTCTAACCCTTAACATATACTTTACTCTTTACTTTTGTTCATTTCTCCTTTAGTTCATCCTTTCTCTGCAATGACATCTCCGAATCCTAACCCTAAGAGAATCCCAATTCTTGATAGCTTCCCCAACGCCCCTGTAAGACATAGAAGGGGTAGAGGTGGCAGGCTTCGTAGCCTAGGATCCGTTCGTGGTGGTTCCTCTGGTTCCATCACTCCTTCTTCTAGTTTTAGCACTATTTCTAGAGGTTCTATTACTAAGAAATCCTCTTCTAAAGGTAAAGAACTTTCCGAGCCTCTTCAAGAGCCTTTAGTTGAGGAAATAGTACCCAATGACTTGTCATTTGAGAATGATAGGAAATCTCTTCGTGATCAAGTTGTTAATTTAGAGAAAGCTGACATTTTTCCTTCTCTAATCACTGGACCTTTGATTTCTATTGTTCGAAAAGATTGCAACTGGAGAAGTGATCTTCGTATAGTGATCCCTAATCCAAACCAAAGAATATCTTCCTTTAGGATTTAATCCTGCTATTGACCCGGTTATACTTGATTTTTGTCTCTTTTTCAAAATTTGCTTAGGACAAATTGGTCACCTGGTATGGAGAGCAGTGGCTTGTTTGAGATATTTGTCTGTAAAAGCCAATGTTAGCTTTACCTTCCCCCACCTTATTCATCTTTACCACCCCAAATTATTCCGCCATGGGGTTTTTACTTTAACTGCAAGAAGTAAAAGGGTCTTAAGATGACAAGGATCATGGGTGGTACACTCGTTATGTTGCTGTTCACACAGTTGATTTGGTGGGTGAAACAAATATCCCCTTCCCTAAGAAGTGGAACTTTGCACGTAAGTTTTTTTTACTTACCGTACCTATCTTTAAGAATTTCAATTTCTTTTCTAATTTCATCTCTTTTTGCTTTTCTATAGCAACTATGGGAGATGTGGAACCCGTTCTTAATTTCCGTGGTTGGGTAGATTCAATCTTGAAAGTCGTGCCTATGGAGACAAGAACTTGGAAATCCATTTCCAATTTACATGGTTGGAAAGTAAAAACTCACGATATGCATCCCTTTATGCTTTTTTTTTATGTTAAGTCCCTTTTTGTTTCTAACTTTTTTTTTCATCCTTCTTTTTGTCAGGATTTGCTATTCGAGGAATGACAGCCGAAGTAGCTATTGCCCTTCGAGCCTCTTCTGGTACTTCACTCTCTTTGGAAAGAACTCAAGATACGCTATCAAAGAGGAAAGTTGTAGAAGAGGATTCTGAGAATGATGAAGATGAAGACACCTCTTTAATAGCTAGACCAAGAGTTTGGAGACGCATCGTTTCCGAGGATGAAGCTGAAGTTACCCCTGTCCATGCCTCTCTTACCGAACCTGTTCGCATTCCTTCTGATGATGAAACCACTCCGAGGGACACCAATGAGTCTATTCAACGCCTCTTTGTTAGTGGTTTTGAAAGTGGAGAACTAGGTCCAGTTTTAGATGAAGTTCCTTTTTCTTCCTCTGTTCCTCAGTTGGTTTCAAGTGCTTCCTTGCCCATTCTATCTGTTCCTGCTCCCTTATCTATTTCAGCTCCCTTGCCTGTCTCTTCTTCCTTACCTGCTTCGAGTCCTTCGACTCCTGTTATTTTCACTTCTTCTACCGCTCCTCCTTCTATAGCTCCCCCTCCCTCTGTTCAACATGCAGGGGAGGGTTCCAGTAGCAGAAGCTTGGCTATGAGGAGTGTTACACTTGAAGTTCCTGCTAATAACAGTCTTTTAAGGAAGTCTGGTGGAACAGATGCCTGGCTTAGGCCTTTGATTGGAGATATTGAGAAGAAGAAGATGAGCAGTCACAGTTGCTTAACTCTGGTGAATGACATAGTTCATTCTACTTTGAAGGTATTTTCTTTCTACTTACTAACAAGTTTTTTTATTTCTAAATTCTTACTTCTATGAGTTGTCTCTGTAGGCTAACCTCATTGGTACAGAATTGATGGGAAAAATTTCCCTTCTGGAAAAGAAAACTCGTGAGTCTGAAAAGCCTATCCACGAGGCTGAGGAAATAGCCAAGAGAGCCCAACTAGAAGCAGATAATTGGAAAGAGCAGTTTGAGAATGCACAGGGAACCATAGAAGAATTGCAAGAGAGTAGAAATCATCTGGAGCAGCAAAAGCGAAGTCTGACTTCTAAGCTAGCAGTTGCCAAAGCTTCTTCAAGTCAATTTGAAAAAGACAAGGAGCGCCTTGAATGTTGCTTTTCAGAACAATTATCAAAGTCAAGTGAAGAAATCAGAAAACTTAAGGCACTCTTGGCCAAGAAAGAAGAATATGCAGGAGAATTAGTGCAGAACTTGACTCAAGTTCAAGCTGATTTAAAGATCTCCTCTGACAAAGTACATGCCTTAAAAAGTTCCCATGCCTCCCTTGAAGTTTCCCTTGATTCTCATTTAGCTGAACATCAAGTGTTAAAGAATGATCTTGCTATGTGGGAAAGGGAGTATGGACTTCTTGAGGAGAAGTTTGATTTAGAGGTGAGTTGTGCTTTCTTAAACTCTCGTCGTGATGCTTTAATGGATGTCAGTCAAGAAAACTTTGACTTAGACTCAGAGTTGGCCAAAGTTTTAGAGACCATTAAAAGAACCCAACAATCATTTGACTTTCCATCTCCGGCAATTGAAGCTCCCGTGGCTAAGGAACCTGTAAATGACGAAGCCGTTGCTGTGGCAGTTGAAGTTGAAGATGTTGCAATTCCAGCTTCCGAGGGTGAAATTTCTACGACTCAGTCTATGGAAGCTGAAACTTCCGTGACTCTTGCTCCTCTCGTTGAACCTAACACTTCAAGCCTAGCTGAATCCGCTCCTGTTGCTGCTTCTTCAGAAGTTGTCACCGTGCCTGTGGCTGTTTCTAAAAGTGAAATTAATATTGCAACTTATGATGTGCCAACCCCTTCGGTGACTAGTTAAATTTCCAGATTTTGTTTTTACTTTCTTTGTTGGATGATGGTTTTATCCCTTAGTTATTTTTTAAGGGATTTTTTTGGTGAAAGTCCTCAGTTATCATAATGGGGCATTTGTATAAACCTTTTTGTTGACTAAGTTCTTACTTAGTCTTTTTAATTATATCAAGAAGTTTGTTAGTACTTCAATGTGCTCTATTCTTGCCTTTTCCTTATCTACTTAGGACTTATAAAATAGTTTAGCATTTTTATCCTTTGAAAATACTTTATGATTCTCCTCATGACTTATTAACATGAAGTTTATAAAAGAGGACCCTTTTATATATCGACACTTAGTGAAGAAGACGTCTCAACTTCATAATGGTGTTATAATACGATGAAAGAAATAGGAACACACAT